TAATGACTGACAAAATAGCAAGAAACATACAATTTGCAATTTACAAAACTAATACAGTACATGGATGATTATAGATCCAATTTAGAAAGGCTTCAAAATATGTGATTAACATCAAATATAGCCATGTATAGTTGCTGGTTCCGTCCCAGATCTATATTGTACACTCTTAGAAAAAAGGTACAAAAGCTGTCACTGGGCAGTGCCTTTTCAAAAGGTACATATCGGTTGCATATCGGTAGCTTAAAGGTACATATTAGTATCTATATGTTCTGAATAGCTTTTGTACCTTTTTTGAGAGTTTGTACACAAATCCCCACTTTTACTCATCATTGGGGGATCGGTCCCTAGAATTGCCTTTGGTACTGTATAATAGTAATACTGTACCTATCATTTAAGAAAATCAAATCTTCTCATCTGAAGTTGCATGTACTTCGAAATCACTGTGAACATGATGAGCTCGTGCTGCTTTTTGGTCACAGTGTGCTCTTTTATTTCTTATGGAGAAATGAATTGGCCTATGGCAAGACTGAATTGATTGAATCCCATGTGTGAAGCACGAGAGACTGGACAACATAATAGTATTACAGTATCAGGGCAAGAGTCAATGTGCATTGAGCCTAATGATTGAATCAGTTTGACCTGATTTTTATTTTTTTTCTCCAGGAAATACAGAAGAAATCTAGTTGGACAGGTCCAGGTACACTGTGTTTACCATCTAAGGGTTAATGCTACAATGAAGCAACATCAATAAAACATTTGAGAGAGAATGAGTGAATTGAATTTACTTGTAGAAACAACTGGTATTATCACAATTGAAATAAACAGTAACTTATGTAGTGAATTTATATGGCCAGCTTATGATATCATGTAAATTGGTCCCACTGGATAAAAAAAAAAAATGTCATAACATTAAACCTAGCGCTGCAAACATGACAAGCCATTTATTTTTTAAGAGAAAACACTAAACACAAGTACACTATATAAGGGTAGTTAAAAATAACACTGGCACATACTTTTTGAAACATTACATTTTTAGATTAATATAACTGACAACAAATATTTGGAATGATTAAGATTTTTTTGGAAGACATGATAAGACATGTAAAAACAGTGATATTGAGAAATATTATTGCAATAAAAAAACTGTTTTCTGTTCAAATGTATTATTATTATTATCATCAATGTTGAAAACAGTTCTTAAGACAGCTTCTTAATAGTTTTCTGGAAATGGAGATGACCCTTTTTAAGGATTCTTTGATTAATAAATGTGCAACAGAAAAGCATTGATTTGAAACAGAAATTAGAACATTATGAATGTCATTACTGCCAAATTAATGTATCCTTACTGAATAAAAGTTTCTTTAAAAAAGAAATTGCACACCATTGATAAAAATAAGAAATGTTTGTTGTGCAGCAAATCAGCGTATTAGAATGATTTCTGAAGGATCATGTGACTGGAGTAAATTCAGCTTTGATTACAGTAATAAATTACATTTTAACATATACTACAATAGAAAAGTTATTTGAAACTGATGCAGTAATATTTCACAATATTACTGTTATCACATATTTCAGTGTGCATGTAGTCACTTACTACTCAACAATAAACACAAATTCATTTTGGTTGATTTCATAAAAAATGTGTATGCATGGGGTAATTATGATAAATGCATATGTCTTCAACTACCTGACACCTATCTAATATTTCACTCTTGAGGCCAATCGTGATGTACTGCTATATATATATATATATATATATATATATATACAAACCTCCTCTGCTCTGATATCATTTATATAAAGGCTTCAGAATCACATTTGTATGAATGTAATCGTTTGACATTCAAGAAAGTCAGGTCCTGTATCATCGTGAAAATGAAAGTATCATTGAGCTCCGTCTTGTGATTAATACATTACTATATGGCTTCTTTTTTACATGCCTCATGCTGGATGAAAGTGTAATATTGACACGAGTCAGTCTTGACTAAAGGCAATAAAACACATCAATTTTTATCACCAGCTTAAAAGGAACCTCACAGGTATGCGTAAAAATCCTTTCCCTCATACTGTACTGCTCGAAGACCGAATCGGAGGGTTCGATTTGAAAATTCATTTAAATAGTTGTGAGCATACAAAGTTCAGAGCGGATGTCTCTGAAGCAATCTCTTCAATTATGAATTATTCACCAGATATTATTCCAAAGGTCATCTTATAGTAATTAGTATCCTGCTGAAGACTAAACAGCCTCAAGGTACCTGATGGCCAGTTTAATTACAATTTAAAATGAGCGTGCTGTTTGACACCCTCTATATGTTCAACCAGCGGCCTCTGCAGATGGTGCTTTGAAAACCAAGTGCGTCTCCACTAAAGAAACATATTTGCAAAGTTAACAAGTGTTCTTGAAGCCGAATACGAATGAACAATAAGAGTCACTTGCAAATGGCCACTTCAATCAATTTCCCATTCAGCGCATTGAGGCATTTTTCAGCATCACAGCGGTCCGTCTCGTAGCGTATTGTATTTGCAGCTTTCGCCAGGGACAAATTACAAATGGCTTGCTCTGTGATTCAATAGTAACTTTGTTATTACTTTGTCACCGCGCCAGTTTAAACTCTCGCTCGCTCTCTCTGTCTTCCTGTATTCGCTTCTGATTCAAAAACTATTGCTGGATTTAAACGCTGGGTCAACACGGCAGTGAGACATAAGCCACGCTACTGCGCTGCCTTCAGCAACCCACTTGAGCAAAAGGAAAAAGCTTTGAGCCGGAGATCTTCAGCGGTGATGTGATGACCCCATCTAGATGTCTTTGATGATATACTCTGTCTGTACACTCAAGCCCTCTCTCGCCAGCCACGGTGTCACTGTGTAGTAACCTCAAATCTAGCAACTCGTTTAGCTTCCGCGCTCAGATCGCCACGTCCACTGGGGCTTACCCGGAAACTCAGGTGGGCTTTAGCCGCGCAATCAGTGTGGGCCACCGCAGTGAAGTCTCTATCTACAGTTAAAGAACAAAACGTCCATGAGGAAAGTGGTTGAAGTCTAGCAGTCCCCCGTTTGAGCTGCTACAACAAAACTGGGTTGATTAGCTCTATGCTAGCCAGTCATGTCTCATTCATCTAATAAAATGGCCATGGGGAATAATGCTGGGAAAGTGTGGAAGGGCTCGCTGCATGTGTGACTGCAAGACCCCATCCGTACCCTTTCGCCCATTACCTTTTCTCATGTTCCCCCATGCATATCAAGCCATTGTCACAGCCACTTAGTGTCTCCACACGCACTCTCTGGTCGCACACTCCAAAAATGCTAGTTTTATAGTTTCTGGATTTTACACTAAAGCACTGACATGACTGTGCTTAAAACTGTTTCTTAAAGGGACAGTTCAACCCAAAATGAAAATTCTAAAAAAACATTATAAACATGTACAGCCTTTTCCTCCTTGGGACATAGAAGATATTTTGAAGAACTGTTTTTGTTTTCTGAAAGTCAATGGGACCCAAAAGTGTCAAGCTCCAGAAAGGACATAAAGGTAGAGTGAAATTAATTAATACACAAACTACAACAACTACACACACTTTAATTATCAGCTAACATCAATCCTCATTAGTTCTCAGACCAAACGTCATGGTGCTTAAGGTTTGTTGCCATAACTGCTCTCTTTTTTCTATATTGTTAATAAATGTTTTAGTTTGATAACCATAAAAATAACTACAGCGATAGCTATATTAGTGTCATAATACTCAATTTATTATACAGTAAGCGGCCTACAGTTTTGACATCTGCCACTTTAAATCAGATTGTCTCTGACTTTTAAATTCTGATTGGCTGTCAGTTGGCTGTTTTTATCGCTCATCAGCTGGAAAAAAAACATTTTTGAAAGTGATTCTAAGGATATTGTTTCTCTGTGCGCTTATCGTTAAAGTTGTGGTGTGGACTCTGCTATTCTTTTAAATTTATAACATTTTTATTGCTATCATTATAGTTATCGCTCTTTGTGTAAACAGGTCTTTAGAATATATCAGTAGAGGTGTTTGGATTAATTTCACTAAAACTATTCAAAACTAGTTTTAGTAATTGATGTAATGATTAAATACAATAAAACGTTAAATTAAAACGAAAAATGCTTTGGCAATGAACTGAAATACGTTTGTTTACAATTATTAAAACATAAATATAATTAAAAATAACAATATATCTTAATATAGCTATATTAATATAGATAAGAATAATATCTTATTCTGTGTTCTGCAAAAGAAAGACATGAGTGTGTGTAAATTATGACCATGTTCATTTTGGAGTGAACTGTCGCTTTAAATTGTAACATTTGCATGCTGTTAAATTGTAATTAGTTTGCCTGCTACTTTATCTGCATTGCAGTCTGGATGCCCAGTATTTCTTTAGACTAATGAGGGAAAGGAGGGATAATTGAGCTCACCCCTATATGAAAGCTCACACTCATATACACATACATGCTCGTCAAGCATCAAAAATGTAAAGCCAGCAGAAAAAGAGTGAAACTAGGCAGTTCAGCAAAATGTTCAGGAACTTACAGTGCTGTAGGTAGACCCTTTTGCTTGGATAATCTTTATTCATTTGCTTTTTAAGGCTCCTTTCTTGCTCCCAACTCCGTCTTGGGCCCGGTCCAAAGCTGCAGTCCTGGCACATTTGCAGAGCACATAATGGTGGTTATATGCCATTTAACTTCTGTAATTGTGTACATTTTCTCTGAATGTGAAAAAAGGCTTCTGTTTATTAATCAGAATATGATTGGACCAGGTGAGTGTTGCTCTTTTTTTTTTATTAAAATCAATCAAACAAAGTGCATTTGAATTATAATTATATGATGTGTACAAAACTGTAACAAAGTTTTTTCCCCCCTTTTTTATTACTACATTTGAGGCCCAGAGAACTCCATGCACATCCCTGCATTGGACCATGAAAAGGGGTCGTTTCCATCCCAGAATAAGGCTAGATCTGAATATTTGGAAGAAAAAAAGCACCCTAATATATATAAAAGTTTCTACGTGTTAAGACTAATTTTTGCAGAGAGGCTTAGCTGTATCTGTAGTCTTGACAGAGTAAGCAGCACATTCAGAGGCATGGAGCTAGGTCTCTTTAGCAGAGTAAAACTGACTCAGGCGGAAATTCAGCAGGAAACGACGGACCTCACCGAAGCCGAAAGAAATACTGCAGTCACCAAGCGCTCACACATTACACTTAACCTTATTGACTACGCTTACATGTGTCGTAATATTCCGAATGCGGTTCTTAACTCAAAGCCTAATTTTTATTGTTTTGTCTGCGTTCATGTGCAAAGCACAACGAAATAACCACCGGCTTTGCTGTTAGTGAGCGCCAATTAAACTCGACCAAGACCACTAGCTGCAGACACGTGTTCATATGTATTTCAAATTAGAGAAGATAATGTGCGCAATATGCACACATTTTCTTTGAATAACAAGAACATGGCGTGTTTTTTTTTTTATCAGCGAGCATGTAAACGTATGCAATGATTTCTTCCAGCAGCACAGGCTTAAAAGTAATTTGTTGTAATCTTGTCCCTTTTGATCAACAGTAAAGCTTAGTTCATTTGCCACTAATCTGTTACGAAGATACATTTCACACCGCTTTTTTTTTTTTGTTATGTTTTTTTCACTTGAGGAGCTACTTTGGTCTATATCTACCATTTGTCTACTGTACATGTTTCAGTTTCACAGAGGATATCGAAAGCTAGTGTCCTTTGCTTTAACTTCCCCTTCCGCCGTGCCGTGAAAGGGTTGACACATGCTAATAACGATCAGAACCCGTCAGCTTTTCCATTTCAATCACTCTCATTATGCTGTGCTCTGAGGCCTACCCTCGCTTCTACAGCTGATGCTCGTGCAGGAAGGCGGAAGAGCCTCCGCCCGCAGACGTCTGGGGGCTAGACGTGGCGGAAAAGCTGGCTAGAGGGATGACCTTGATGGGATCCTCTTTCTTGCCGCAGTGTCTCTCAAGTGTGTTGTAGAATTGGGGCCGGTTGCTCCCTTTGTCCAGATCATCTTTGGGCACTGACCTGCCAAGGGTGTGACGCCCATCTGGCTTGTTCCCCCGCGCCCAGCTTTGTTGAAAACCAAAGGAGGGCAGAGTGGCGGCGCCGGACATCTGGAATTGGGTCAGCGCTGGCGGCATCCAGCAGCTGTCAGAATGACCCAGGATCAGACATTCCTGGGTACAGGTCTCCGAGGCCTCGGCGAGAGCTTTCTGCAGGTTCACTTCAATAGCTGTGGATGATGAAATGACAAATGCGGAGGCTCAGTCAAGAGGTGAACACGGAAGACAAAATAAATCATACTTTCTCATATTGCTAAGGCACTTGGAGACAATACAAAGTTGGCGCTATCAAAAGGTGACCTGTAAATGTCAGCTTCTGAGAGAAATGAAAGGCAGCGATAAATGTTTAATTCATCTGGTAATGAGAAAAACAACACCGGTTCTTTTAATTTAAATGGTATTCCCATGGTCCTAAGTGTTTACCTACAATATGCACTGAATTCCCTGTAGCTTAATTAAATCTTAAAAAAAGTCTCTGTTGTTTGTGTCTGAGATTGGCTTTTTACATATTAAAGAATTAATGAACGGCTCCAAAACCATTGTTTATTTTAATCGCAGTCATCGTGGCACACCTTTCTTCTGGTGATGTCTCCCGCTTAAATCAAGTCAATTAAGACAAATCAAACGGAAACGCAGCAATTCTTCCTCCTTCGCCTACTTGTTAGCGCAGCTGACACGTACAGTAAGCGTGCTACAGTAGCTGCGAGCAACAGAACGTGATTTGCTCAAAGGAAAGAGAACTGTAAACTACAGGACTCAAACTTTCTTATCTCATTAAACTTGCTCTGACATCAAATGCGAGATGTGCCAAGAAAAAGGCCTCAGTATTGAGCCCCAGCCATATAGCCTGTCAGCTCTAATAATTAGAATGTAAAACAGTGCTTGTGGAGGCAGGCTGGAGCTCTACAGCGGCGTATGTATATCTTAACCCACCAGGAAAAGGAGAGCCCTGTCTGAACATCACTTTGCTCATGCTGGTCCCCCCCCTCCAAGCTGTCATCTAGAAATAATTTAGCATATTTGCATAAGTAAAGATGTTAGAAATAATTGAAAGAGACTACGTCTGGTTCCCTTGCATTACATGCTTGGGTTATTTTTATTTTTACCACCAGGAGCCAATATAGTTATTGCTTTTTTATGTTTAGTATTTTAATATCATGCAGAGGGAAATCAAAATATTCTGAATTACAGAATAAATATTGAAACATTTACCCAAAGTAACTGCCATTGCATTCAATACGTTTGATCAATTCACGCATTTCCTAGGAATCAAACCCATGGCCTTGCCATTGCTAGCACCATGATTTAATGTCTGAGCAGCAGATATCCATACATAAATATCATATTAGCTGCTATGGCCCACTACATGTAAGCCATCCACCATATTGGAACTGTCAAAGCAAGTTTATGAACACTTGAGAACACTCTTACAAATGTTATTGATCATCAGGGAACACTACCATATACCTATGGTTTTCACAACCATAGGCTGCATAATGTTGTTGAAAATTCATTGGTTTTTGTTAGTGTGAGTATTAAGCAGCCTCTGAAATGTTGACTGTTCCAAGATGGTGGATGTGCTGGTGTGCCTGGAGCAGTCGAATAAGAGATCTACCTATAGAGATATCTATGGTTTTATAGTTAGTACTTCTGTTAAACAAACATCTGTAAACAAATCCAAGAAATGTTGGCTCCAATTAAACGCCATTCAATACTGAAAAACATCAATAACAAACAGTTAATTGTAACTTAAAAATACTACCTTACCCAACATTTGTTTGTGCTATGCATTTTCATGTTTATTAAAGTATCATACCATTAGCTTAGCAACATGCTAACGTCAAACTCCATTGAAATCAATTCAGTCTCCTTTATACAAACAGTTGGTGCATATCTAGAGCATTCAAAATCATTAAATATGATGGTTAAAAGCTACCAAGTTAGTGGTTTTATTTGTAGTAAGACCATGGTTAATTTTTCGTAAGGGTCATCCTTTCGTCCATTGTCTGTGCTATTTCTCTCCAGAAGTTATGAGAGGTAAAAAGGGCTTTGTACATGATTAAACCAGAGTTTACAGGTATATTTTTACCACCTCCTACTTGAAAATAACATCTGCCGGAATGCTGCTCCAAACTGGAGATCCAGTTTGTAAACTCTAGGCAGCTCAATCAACCCCAACCTCAGAGTTAAGCTTTATTTGACGCAATTTCCAAGATGACAGCAAACAAGGAGGATAGAGAGCTGGTTTACGTGGAACATAAAAATAAATTTTTATGTATTTTGATGCACATATTGTATCAACGTGCAAGATATACTAAATTGTTTGTTCATAAATGAATGCCTACCTCTTTTTCTCTTTCAATGTCTACTAGATAGACAGCTGTCTCGAATAATGTACCATTATATTTGACATTATATTGTTTAAAAATTTGAAAAACGAATGACAATATACTGATTTTAGGACACCCTGAATGTTCATTTTGCCATAACTGGCAGAATAACAAATGTTCTTTAGTCATGGTGTCATCTTGTGGTGTGACGGACTGGAATGCACTGAGGTCATTTCAGATTTTCAGATATTCCCACCTCCAACTTTTTGCTGTCTCCAGTAGATTGTAGTTGTTCCAAAGCTAATAGAAGGCAAGCCTGCAACCTTTAGCCAAAAAAGCGTAATGGCTAATGCTAACGCTGCGGCCATAGATATGTATTGGGAGAGACACCAGAGGCCATTGTATGGCTGAGGTGCCTCACGTGATCCAAGTTAGCCGTTGCACTTTTTCCAATGGTAATTAATACAGACTCTCTCATCTCCCAATAGTAAGCTAATCTCTGGTTGTTCCATCTATTCAACGCCTTTTTCGACTAAAAAACAACAGGCTTGGGCAGTGTTGCCACCTTGTGGATGAACTAATTAGTGCAAATAAACAATTCAAGGTGCATGTGCAAGCTGAACATACAAAGTAAACACAGTGAGGAAAATGGGGTTGAACGTACTGTGCCGATGCCAATATTTACCCCATGTGCACTGTATACGCATAAAAACCACTGTGTATTGTGGACTTCGGACAGCTTACTAGATTTTGGAATAGAGCTATAGTATGCTCTTATTTTACATGTCAGTTTGTCTTAATTCCAGAGAACTGGACAGAATAGCACAAATCTAGAAAGCTATAAACAGAAAGAGAGGAAAGAGCGAGAGAGATGTGGCCACATGCTCCCGGTCTTACTCTGCTATAGTCTGCCTCAGAGCATCAGTGCATAAATCAGTGGAGCGGTAAACGTGTCACCTTTCAGAGGGTCACTAACTTCATTAAGGAAAAATGATGCCGCTCACTCACTCTCTGAGCAAGCAGAATGAGTCCTGGCCAGGTCGCTCTCGGAGGCTGCTGTAAATCACCCCAGAGCTGCTTTGGAAATTGGAGGTGTCTTTCAGAGCCATTGTTCTTTTGAGGGGCCGAGCGCATCACGCCACGCTCGACAGATTCATGCGCGCAGGCAGACACATGTCCGGCCTTAACACATTCGCTGAGAAGTGCCTGAGACACCTTTAGTGCATTTGCCCAGCAGGTCCGTGTGTGTGTGTGTATGAAGCCAATCAGCACAAGCAGTGGCGAGTATGTGCACAATTACATTATGTGTAAAAGGTGTTTTGAAGCCACGCTGCTTTCCAGCGTGCAGAGGCACAGCACGAGCTGTCAGTGGCGCTATGTCAACAGCCAGGAGAGCTACTATTTTTTGCATGTGATATTTCACATTAAACAGCTCCAAAGATGTAGTCCGTATCAGTTTCTCCTCCACAGGGACTAGTACTGCTTGACTGATGTGGGTGACAGCACTGAATGCTTTCGTCAGCCCGAGGCAGCAGCTCACTCTGATGCTGTTTAAGTGCTTTTTGTATTCAGGGGGAATCGCTACTTTTAAAAATCGAGCTTTTAAAAAAGTATCAGACCCCACGTGCTCCGGTCTGCACATACATAGATGTGTCGGAAAACCTCGCATTTGGGGGTAAGAGATGGTATTTTCAATTTCACTTCTTGCAGAAAAAAAATTGAATGTTGTGTGAGGTAATGATATTTACATTATCGCAAAACATAGGCTTAAAAATGCCAAGCCTATTTACTCTGAGAGTAATAGGGCTTCTAATAATGGCTCGCATTTAAAGCAAATTGTCTGCAGATTGAAACATTTCGCAAAATGGCCAGTGGTTATTGATTGAAGTCCCGGGCTGATTCACACTTGTAATTACAGCGGTGCGAACGCTTGAAGATATTTTCAATCTTCCCCTGCAAACATTGTCTAATGCTGTCGTCAGAGATTGGTAATCGGATTGCTCCCCTATGACAAACTGCAAAGGTCTCGTCTCTTTTTCCAAAACCTGAGCTTTATTTTCCAAACTAAAACAAAAGAAAAACATTTCAATCCTTAAAGGGATAGTTCACCCACATATGAATCATCATTTACTCACCCTCAAATTGCTCTAAATCTCCATGAATTTCTTTCTTCTGCTGAACAGAAATTGAAGATATGTCAAAGAATGTTGGAGACCAAAGAGTTGCTGGTCCCCGTTGACTTCCATAGTATTTTTTTTTCATACTATGGAAGTCAATGCGGATAATTTGAAGATATTTTGAAGAATGTTGGCAACCAACTGTTTGGTTATCAACATTGTTTAAATGAGCAATATCGCTCTCGTACAAGAGCGATACCGGCTCTATATCATCATGGCTGTGATTAGGCCAGAGGCAATCACAGCTGCTGATATAGAGCCGGTATCGCTCGAGTACGAGAGTGATATT